AAGTGCTACTCCAGTGAACACATGAATGATAAGAAAGTGGAACAGCCTTATTGCTGAGATGGAGAAAGCTTTCGTGGTCTGGGTAGAAGACCAAACCAGCCACAACATTCCCGTAAGCCAAAAGCCCAATCCAGAACAAGGCCTAACTCTTTTCAATTCTCCGAAGGCTGAGAGAGAGGAAGCTGCAGAAGAAAAGTTTGAAGTTAGCAGAGGGTGATTATGAGATTAAGAAAAGAAGCCATCTCTATAACACAAAAGTGCAAGGTGAAGGAACAGTACGGATGTAGAAGCCACAGCACTTTATCCGGAAGATCTAGTTGAGATAAATATGAAGGTGGCTACATGAAACAATAGATTTTCAATGTAGAGAAACAGCCTCATATTGGAAGAAGATGCCATAAACGTACCAGCTAAAAAGGAGAAGTCAATGCTTGGCTTCAAAGCTTGAAGGACAGGCTGACTGTCTTGTTAGGGGCTAATGTAGCTACTGACTTTACATTAAAGCCAGTGCTCATTTACCATTCCAAAAATCCTAGGACCCTTAAGAATTATGCTTCAGCCACCCTGCCTGTGCTCTATAAATGAGCAACAAAGCCCAAATGACAGCACAGCTGTTTACAGCATGGTTTACTGAATATTTTAAGCCCACTGTTGAGACCCACTGCTCAGAAAAACTTTTTTCCCCCAAAATATTAGTGCTCGTTGACAATTAACTTGCTTACCCAAGGGCTCTTACTTGATGTCCAAAAGATTAATGTTTCATAACTGCTAACACAGCACCCATTCTGCAGCCCATGGATCAAGGAGTAATTTCTACTCTCAAGGTTTATTATATAAGAAATACATTTTGTAATGTTGTAGCTGCTATAAATAGTGATCTCTCTGAAGGATCTGGGCAAAGTAAATTGAAAACCTTCTTGAAAGGATTCACCATTCTAGATGTCATTAAGAACATTCATCATTCATGGGAAGGGGTCAAATATCAACAGTAACAGGAATTCGGAAGGAGTTGATTTCCACCCTGTTAGGTGACTTCAAGAGGTTAGACCAGTAGAGGAAGTAACTTCAGATGTGGTAGAAATAACACCATAACTAGAATTAGAAGTGGATCTGAAGATGTGACTGAGTTGCTACGTTAAAAAATTAATTGCTAGGAATTTCATGATAAACCTTTAATGGGTGCGGAGTTGCTTCTTATGAACAAGCAAATAAAGTGGTTTCTTGAGATGGAATCTACTCCTCGAGGTGAAGATCCTGTAAAGATTGTTGAAATGGCAACAAAGGATTTAGAATGTTACATAAACTTAAGTTGATAAAGCAGTGGCATACAACTCAATGGAAAAAAATAAAATATTATTGAATCGTTAAAATGTTATTCAGTCTTTAAAAAGAGGGAAATCACACCATTGTGACAACATGGATGCACCTTCAGGGAATTATGCTAAGTGAAATAGGTCAGAGAGAAATAGAAATACTGTATGCTCTCTTTTATATGTGGAATCAAAAAACCAAACCAAAACAAAATTTATAAATACAGAGAACAGATTGGTGGTTGCCAGAGGTGGTGGGAGGGGGACAAAAATAGGTAAAGGTGGTCAAAAAGTACAAGCTTCTAGTTACGGGTAGTAAAGGGTAAAGGGGGCCAAGTATATGGTGACAGAAGGTGAAAAAATAAAATATGTCATGGAGATGTAATGTACAGCACTATGACATAGTGAATAGCATTGTATTATGTATTTGAAAATTGACAAGAGAGTAGATCTTAAAAGTTCTCATTATAAGAAAAAAATGATAACATTTGTGGTATGTTAACTAGAATTGCTATGGTGATTATTTCACTATATATACATACTAGAGGCCCGGTGCAATCGGGGGTGTTGGGGGGACCCTCAGCCCAGTCTGTGACCTCTTGCAATCTGGGACCCCTCAGGGGATGACCACCTGCTGGCTTAGGCCCGCTCCCTGGGGGATTGGGCCTAAGCTGGCAATCAGACATCCCTCTGGCAGCCCGGGAGCCCTTGGGGGATGTCCACTTGCCAGCGGGGAGCAGGCCTAAGCTGCAGTCGGACATCCTTAGCACTGCTGAGGAGGCGGGAGAGGCTCCCACCACCACCAATATAGTTCCTAGGGCAATGGAAATTAAGGAGAAAATAAACAAATGGGACTACATCAAATACAGGCCTAAGCTGCAGTCGGACATCCTTAGCACTGCTGAGGAGGCGGGAGAGGCTCCCACCACCACCGATATAGTTCCTAGGGCAATCCTGGCTTGTGACTGAGCAGAGCTTCCCCTGTGGGAGCGCACTGACCACCAGGGGGCAGCTCCTGCATTGAGCATCTGCCCCCTGGT